TTTATGAAGATATATTGCAATTGACTGAAAGATGAATCCAATCAATTTTATGGATAAGTTGAAGACATGGTAAAAGAAATGTAGCAACCTGTCAAATGAAGATCCTTGATGGTGAGCACTTGAAGGTTTGCTATATAATTCTTTTGATTTCTTATGTTTGAAATTTTCACAATGAAATATTTGGATAAACCTAAAAATTATTTCCATGGAGACACATAAATAAATAAAGATGGCAGTGTATTTAAATCATTTAAATATGTAGGCTGTACAATTATTTGTTTACAAACTGAAGAGCTCTTTCTCAGTTTGTCATTTATAATACTTAAAAACTGGCAGTCAACTGGTATTTAATGGTAGAAGAACTGTTAAACAAATGGTTAAATAAAAAATTAATAAAAGGACTGTATAGCCATTGGTACAATTTTTCTAAGAAACAAGATCTGTGGGGGCTGGGGTTGTGGCTCAGTGGTAGAGCGCTTGCCTAGCATGCACAAGGCACTAGGTTCGATCCTCAGCACCACATAAATGTAAAATAAAGATATTGTGTCCACCTAAAACTAAAAAATAAATATATAAAAAAACACGGTCTGTGTTACCTAATGAAGGAATTTAACCCCCGTACAATTACAACATGAATACAAATACATAGAATATATCATGAGTGATTTCGTTTTATCATGTTTAAATCCCTGATATCCATTTTTTTAAAAATGGGAAATATGCTTATTCTCAGTTAAAATAATCTACCTTATAAATAAATGTGGAATTTCATACTTAGTTGAGGGAATATCTTCAGTTGTCCTCATCTAGAACAGTAACATTGGCAAGCTGCTTTTTAGGCATTGTTCAGAAATAATGCTGCCAACTAAACAATGAATGAATGAATAGATGACATCAACCTTGGCAATCACAAATTCTCCTACAGCCTGTGACTACTCTTACATGTTTTGGGGTTTCAGTCCTTGTGGTCTAGCTTTCAGAGTGACATCTCATGGAAGGGCTGGGCGTTTCTGTCACCCAATTCGGATTGCCTACTTTGCAGATTTGACACCTAGGCTGTTGTACTGTATCCATCATTCCACTTCCAGAATATTTTGCTAACACAGTTATTGGTATTGAAAGGACCTTGGCATGAATGGCATAGTCATATTGCTTTCCTCCAAGGCAGAAGATAAGAAAGCAGGGAGGTCCATATGGTATAGTATAGTGAAAACCACAGCTCACCTTCCCCAAGAAGAATTCTGTGCTGGTAGATGTGACTTCTGTGGGATGCATATCCAAGTCAGCAGTAATCCTGATGCCTGTGCCTCATAGACCTCATGGATATGGTAAACCACATGTATCCAAGGTCAGGGAGAACTTTTTCAGTCTCTCTTTGCATGAGATATTTCAACCATAAATATAGTTAGCCAATAGATAGTACAGTGTTAGCAGAAGATAGAATGATGGTGTTTTAAGATTTGAAGTGAAGAGAAAAATTGGATAGTATTGACTATCAGAATCTTGAGATACTTAGAGTAGTTTCAGTCCTCTGGTCTTCCTAGGTAATATTTTTTTAGAAGAGAAAATAGCAGTAATTTATCTCTGAGGTTTCCTAGCAGATATAACATCTACCGTACCAAGCAGGGTGTAGAAAATGTTTTTCTTTTCTAGATCTAAAAATAGTCAAAATGTGAGATGAATAAAAAGAATAAAAGAAGGTTAACTGTGGGACCCCAAACCCTTCCATTCTTTACTTAATTTATCTGGAGCTAACACCTAATTTTAGCAAGGGTGGGGAGGGGTCTTACTTTGCTTTGTTTTAATGTTGTTGTCAGTAAATATACATTGGAAATATTGAGAGGAGAGAAAAAACTGTGGAACAGATTCCAGACAGAAAGGGAAGATTTTCAGCCCAATCTCAGAAATAAAAAGCTATGGGGAAGTACAGAGAGTGAAAAATCCTTCTGTTTATGTAATGTTTTTAAACCCTGTCAAATCAAAGCAATACTGAACAGCATCTAGACAAATGGAAATTCATTACTAATGGACTCAGAAGGGAATGTGGGAGGGTTAATTTCTCTTTTCCTTTTTCAAATAGGTTTTTCAATGTATTTGGCTATTCCTCTCTAGAGTCAAAGTGCTGGTTTCCTTGGTACCTTGTATTTGACAGCATTTATTTCAATATTTTAGTGATTTTCATTTGTTACTATTCTTATACACAATTCTGTATATAAATTTTATCTATCTATCTATCTATCTATCTATCTATTACAAAGTCAATTGCTGAGGTGCTGAGTCTGGGATACTTGCTTCTTTTAGCTTTGAGAACACGGGAGCAGTCAGACAGAGCCCTTGGCCTCCATCTGCTGGTGGTTGGTGTCAAAGCAACTATGCCATTAGGACTAAAGCATGTTTAGCCAACAAGCCCTGTTTAAATTATTCAGCAAAAGAAGGATGATAACATGTATATCTTGCAACATAAAATCTGATACAGTCAAATTGGTAGATATATAGAGAATAGAGATCAATTATGAACTAGTGATTAGAATTATATGAAATGAGTTAAAAAGTTTACCTTTTTGCCAGCACATCAAGTCACAGAAAAATATCCACTTAAAAAGAGGTCTGGTCAATTCAGGTGACAGAGAAATCTAATTACTAATAATATGTGCTTGGCATTTATGTATAGTTGGGGGTGTCCTATGAAATAACATAATGTCTGCTTTTTGATCTATAGTAATGTGTCTTTATGTGTTGGTGTGTGTGTAGTGGTACATATACTCTGTTTATCCATACAGTTTGTATGTATTTAGCGTCCATCTAGTTCAAAGCTATTGAAACCACTGGGATTCTCATAGGTGACAGATAAATAACTCAGAAGTGTGAACATACTACTTAACCTTCTACATTTGAGTCTTTAAGTTTATTATCTACACATTGTCTTTTTGAATGGTTTCCAATGTGGAAGAAACTTTGCTAGGTCTTTAATGTTCTGGTGAAAGTCTACTGATTTCTCTCAAAATAAAGCTATGAGTAATTGGGCACAGTGGCACATGCCTATAATCCCAACAACTCAGGAGGAAGGTTTGAGGCCAGCCCACTCAATTTAGTGAGACCCTGTCTTAAGAAAAAAAAAAAATAAAGGATTTGGGGGTGTAACTCAGTGGTAGAGTGCACCTGGGTTCCATCCCCAGTACCACACATACACAAGCAATTGTTCATTGTTTTGGGGGGAATTAGGATGCACTCCTAATTTATGATCTGATTATTACTCTTTTGACAACAACAATAATAACATCCATAAAAAGATGGATGGTTCTGTAAAACAAGAGATGTAATTTTCTTAAATTTTTAAATGTGAATTTTCAGTCATTCACCAAAATATGAATCCCCAAGTAGTTATTAACCTACTCCAATAATTATCAGCATTAATGATTCAATTTAAACAATTATCTCTTACAATTCACATAAAAGAATTACTTTTCGCAACTCATGCATTTTAATAACAGGGTAGAAAATAAAGAAATGAAGGCTATGTTCTGGCAAATAACTACATTTTGGATCATTGCTCACTTTGTAGGAAAGCCAAATTCTCATAATAGGAGGATTTTATATGAGAGAGAAAAGTAAATTTCTGAGAATATGAGTGGCACTTCATTATGTAACAAATAGCACAGCTATTTACATTTTTTTCATAAATGTAAAACTATGTTGTAGAAAAGGTACTTGGTAAGAAGTTATTTTTATTATTAAATTTATTGTAAGTTTGAGGCAGAAGAAAGGTCCCCCCCCCCCCAGGAAGTGACTTAACTTCTGGAAGATTCTCCACAAAGATTTGAAAATTTGTACTGAAATGAAGTTTTTCTAAAACTCTGATATTGCCTGATGAGGATGCTTCTGGAAAGTACATTATAACAAGGTTGGCTGTGTGGCTTATGTCCCTCATTTTCCATCTGATACCCACACAGAGTATGCTCCATGCCATGCCAGTGTTCAGAGGTTTCCAAGATTAGGACTTTCCTGACTTGATCAAAAGAACTGGGTAGAATTTATTCAGTAAAGGCAAGGAATAGCTGGTGCTAATCACATCTCTGAAAAAGATCAATTTTTGAAATCTGTATCCTGGGTATATTATATGAGATCAATCTAATATCCTTCCTCAGTATTTCTGATTTGAACCCCTCAGATCAGGTCTGCCAAGTGGATGTTATCAGAATCTTATTAAAGAGTCATACTCCAAACAAATTTGTTCAAAATTAAAACTTTTGATTACACTTCCTTTATTTTATTATTGCAAGTTTTTAATACTCCTTAAAACTTTTTTTTCTATTTTGATTCTTCCAGTAAAGACCCCAAATATGATTTTGATGTTTCTCTGGCCCATATACAACTCTACAGAGGTTTGGATTATTTTAACACATATTTGATTACAAAAATTATTTTTCCATCATAGTCAGGAGATCTATTTGAGAAACCCTTCCTTTATTTTTCCCTGAGAATGATTTAACTTTGGAAACTTTCCCCACAAAAATTTGAAAATTTGTACTGAAATGCAATTTTTAAAAAAATTCTAATATTGCCCAATGAGGCTGTTTTGCTATGTGACTTTCCTCTATGACCCAGATATTGGGACTTGTGACTTGGATGACCCCCCTCATTCAGTAACTTCTGCTTTCAGTCAAGAAAAATGGAAATAGCTTGTGAAGGGGAGGCCATGCACACCTTAAAAGTAGTGTCTCAGGAATGACATGTCACTTCCATTTAAACTCCATTTGCTACACCGTACTGCAGGGAAAGCTGAGCAATGTCAAATTGATGGGGGCTCAGGAAGAAGAGAGCTTTGATGATCTGATATCAGACTCTGCTGCACCCAAATCCTGGGATTTGTACATTACACACAGCAAGCTTTGAAATCTCATGAGATTCAACAGAGGGGAGAAAAGAGGTAGGGAAAGTTTGAGGCCTAGTGGGAAGCCCAAGAAGAATCAGACATGCCCTATTTTGTTTCTGCCTTACAGATCCCTGGAACTGATGCGGATGTGGCTGCAGGAACCACCTTACCAGCAGAGGGGGCCCTGGTAGAGGAAGCAGAGGCAGAGAAGGTAGCTCTCCCTGCAGAAGAGGGAGGAAGTCTAGAGGAGGCCAAAACTGATACTGAACCCACAGAGGTTACAGACAAGGACAGACCTCAACCAACAGAGACAGAAGCAGCAGTGCCTCAGGTCAGTATCCTCAAGAAAGAACATATGGGCAGACAGTGCTAGCTGGAGAGCTCTATCTGGGGGTTAATGGCGATAATGCTTTTCACATGGAATGGGTTTGTAGCCATCTTGTAAGTTCCCATTCCATCAAAAAATTACATATCCTTTAATTCTCAGAAAGAATGGTCCTAGCATCCACTTGATATCTGCCGGTTCTACACAGGTCCCCAGTGCCTATCACTGATGGGGCCTAACCATAGGACGATGAAAAAGAAATGATACATGCATACCCATACGTACAGTAGCACGATTCACAATAGCCAAACTATGAAGCCAGGCTAGATATCCATCAATGGATGAATGGATAAAGAAAATGTGGTATTTATACACAATGGAGTTTTATTCAGCCACAAAAAGAATTAAAATTATGCACTTACAGGAAAATGGATGGAACTAGAGACCATCATGTTAAATGAAATAAGCCAAACTCAGAAGGTCAAGGGTCTTATGTTTTCTTATGGGAAGCTAGAGAGGAAAAAGGAAAAGAAAGGTAGGGGAGGGCAGTGATCTCAGGAAAATCAAAGGGAGATCAGTAGAGGAGAGGAACCATGGGGTGAGAGGCAGGGAGGAAGGGGGTTAGTGCTGGGGAATGGTATTAGCCAAGTTATATTGTTATGTTATGTGCATTTATGAACATGTAATAACAAATCCCATCAGTATGCACACCTAAAATGCACTAATAAAAATATGGGGAAAAAAGAAAGTAAAAAAGGAAACTGTAATAAAGTGACAGAAGAAAGGAATGGAGCATAGATAATAAAGAAAATGAAAATGGTGGCCTAGTACGGTGATGCACACCTGCAATCCCAGCAGCTCAGGAGGCTGGGACAGGAGGATCACAAGTTCAAAGCCAGCCTGAGCAAAAGTGAAGTGTTAAGCAACTCAGTCAGACCCTATCTTTAAATAAAATACAAAATACAGAGCTTGGGATGTTGCTCAGTGGTTGAGTGCCCCTGAGTTCAATCCCTGGTACCAAAAATAAATAAATAAATAAAAATGGTGGGAAGACCAGAGAAAGAATAGAACAATAGTCTGTTGTAAGGAATGAGGAAATGCCCATAAAGGGCTTAGCCCAGTGTCACGCACATAGTGAAAAATCAATATTAGCAGTGAAAATGTCACTGGAGTCCCAGGTCAGGGGTTTGCCTCTGGGGGTCCTAATAGGCTGGAGTTGGTTTCCCACTCTCATCAGGAATAATATAAAAAGAAAAATTAATTCATTGCAATTTTGCCAAACTGGGAAGACAGCTATTCTGTCTTGCCTGCTGCTTCCTAGAAGCATTGGGATTAAATAGGGAAGAACAAAGCAGGGAGGGCAAAAATAGACATTTGTCTATTTAGTCAGGCTCCTGGACCAGAGGTGTGTCATCATTCTGGTTGTTTGGGTCCCATTGACATCCTCCTGGTGCTAGGGACCCAGGTTTTAGGGGACAGTTTCTGTTCCACTTCCTTTTTCATTTGATGAATGCCTGTAGGAAGTTAAGGTGGTGAAATAATTAACAAGATAATGGCTAGACTCCTTCTTTTTCAACTTTAAAGGAGCAGCTGTTACACTGGGAAGCCAACTGTTACAAAATTGTATTAGTATTGTTACTCTTTTGTGCTTATGAAGAGTGCCTCAGAATCACCAGCAGGCTTCTTTTACCAAGGGCCTATCCATAGGTTCCATGTTCAAATGTGGGCTGTTAAATACATTCGTGGATTCGGAACTAGCCCCAATCCATCAGTGCTACAGAGCAGCACACAAAATCAACACAGCACAGCTCTTGCGATTGGGACAGCAATGGACTGCTGCAAAAGTGAAATCAGCCTGCATGGAATCCTTCCTGGCATTTCCTGCTCAGGATTATTCCCTGACCCCACATGATACAGCTTCTTCCCCTTAAGTTTCCGTCCCTCCTCCCAGTTTCCACGGACTTACCAAGCTGTGTGACTGCTCAAGGATCCAAGCATGAATCCCACTGAGGGTTTAGTACTTAGAAGAGACAGAAAGGAAGCCAAGGTACAAGACAGAGACCCAAAGTTCAAAAGCCTTCTGGGCTGAGGGAACAGCAGGTGGATAGTGGGGCAGGGAAGTGTAAGTGGCTAAGGAAGACATTTATTGTTATTCAGGCTCTGCTTGACACCACTGCCCTCTTCTTCCTCCAGGAGAAGGTCATCCCTTCTGTTGTCATTGAGCCCGCCTCCAACAACGAAGGGGAAGGAGAACATGAAATGACCCTGGGTGCAGAGACTAAGGAGGCCACTGAGGATGTGGCTCCTCTGGGCCCTACCAGTGAGACGCCAGAGCTGGCCACAGAACAGAAGCCCCCAGAGGACTCTCAAGCCCTGCCTTCCGCACCAGCGGGTGCTACTGATCAATTTGCAGGAGAGGCCTCTCCAGAAGTGCCTCCTGGCTTTCTCTACAAGGTCTTCCTCATGGTCATTTGTCCTTTCTTTGCCTCAACCCTTCTTCAATCCCCAAAAAAACTTTTGGTGTTTTGATATGTTACTTGTACTTTTTTTCAATAATATTGTTTTTTCTCATAACTGCTTTCCTTCACCTCAACTCACCTTGGAAAATGGCAGGAGTTCTATGCTGCAGGACAAGCAAAACCTACAGTAATACTTTCCATGTTTTAGCAAAGAATAATAAATGAGAAGTTCACTACAGGGCACTCCCCCTGGGTGATAAAGGGGTTAATTTCCCCCAGCCTGACTGTCCAGCATGGCTCAGACCAGTTCCTCCAAGTCACCTGTTTACCAAGGTGCTCCCCAAAGGGATCATCAGGGCAGGAAGCAAGAAGCACTAGTGCATAACAGTAGGGAGCCAATAAATATTCTCAAACGAATAAAGATATTAATAGGTTTCTGTGAAAAGGAAGAAATGGGAGCCTACATTAATGGGAAGAAGGTTCTTCCCAGAGAGGCTACTTATAGTCTTCATAAACTCAATGGTCCTCAGCCCACAAAATGAGCAGTTGCTTAAAAACCCTGGCATAAGCCAAGTGTTAAAGGCAGATAGGGCTCTCTAATAGAACCTGGTTAGGAATTTTTAATTCTGTAAGTTGGTTTTATATTTCCAAATACAGCTACTTTTTTTTTTTTTTTTTTTTTTTTTTTCTTTAAGGATTTTTACATTGGCTTGTATTAATGGGTGGAATGTTCTCCTTTAGAAAGTGATGGCTGTCTTGCTACCTCAAGGGGGTGTGGTATGGGTATTCTATATTTATAAATATATGAATATGGAGAATTCTGCAGGTTAGGGGGCTGTGTCCAGCTGTGTTGTGTTTTAACTAGAGCACATGAAGGCAAGGAAGCCATGTGCCAGGCAAGGCCAAGGCAGGCGGGGCCATCCCTGGCTTCCTTGCTGACTGGTGTAATGTAGACATATTATTTAACCCCTCTCTAGGCCTCAGTTTGTGATCAGAGGAGTTAATTTTGTATATAGTATTTCCAGCTCTTTTATTTTATGATTCTTTAAAATATATATTTTAAAAGCATGTTGTTTAATCTCATGGATGGGTTTTAGGAGAGGGACATGAGAGAAATTAAACTGCCAAGACTGTCTAGTCATTCAAGCTGGGAGATGGGGTAATGGATGTTCATTACGTTGTTCTTTCTGCTTTTTTCTTTTCTTTCTGTTTCTTTTGTTTGTTTGTTTGTTTTTACTGGGGATTAAACCCAAGGGCACTTAACCACTGAGCCACATTGCCAGTCCCTCTTTTTAAATTTTTTATTCTGGGGTTTTACTAAGTTGCTAAGGCTGGCTTTGAACTTGTGATCCTCCTGCCTCAGTCTCCCAAGCTTCTGGGATTACAGGCATGCACTACCATGCCCAGCTTTTTGCTTTTTTTCTATAATATGATTTTAAAAAGATATTTTTGAAGGGGTAAAGTAAAACAGGTTGTCATAGTAGGACAAGAAAAGGATCAAGTTTATTTACAAAGAAATTGATCACAGAGATTAATTAAATAATAATTCCTATACAATATGCAAGTGATAGTTTTTAGTTACTTGACAGAAGCCAGAGTTAGAGGAACTTTCAGCAGGGCATTTTTAGTTCAAGTTAAACAACAAAATATAATAAAGCATCAGTGATTATAATATTAAAGTCGTTGAAAAAGAGGTGATGAATTAAAAAGTAAATAATAGAATATTCTCCGATATTGCAGGGGGCATTGCATTACTAAATATACATTGCAAATGGCCTCATAGAAGTTCATATAAGTCAGTAAGAATCAAGGGTATTAAGTAAACAACAACAGTATTTCCTTTTTGTCTTTAGAGGTCTTCTTTTTCCTTGGAGTGTGTGTTAGTCTCTTTTCTATTACTATCATGAAATACCCAGGACTGGATACTTTATGAAGAAAAGAGGTTTATGTAGCTCACAGTTCTGGAGGTTCAAGAGCATGACTCTTGCTTTGGGAAGGGTGCCCTCAGCTGAATCACATGGCAGATGGTGTTGTGGGAAGTAGGAGGAAATCACATGATGAGACAGGAAACCAGAGCATGGGAAAGGGCTAGTCTTATTCTTTTATAATAACCCTCTTACAAAACTAACAAGGGTCCTATGAGAATTACATTAATCCCTTTTGAAGGAGCTGCCCTAATGACCTCCTGCTACACGCTACCTCTTAAAGGTTCCCTTCCCTCCCATACCACCACACTGGGGACCAACCCTCCAGCACATGAACCTCTTGGGTACACCTCACATTAAACCCTGTCTGTATCTTCATCTTTTTATCCCACTTGAAGAATGCTGCTAAGCATGCCTGCTTATCATCTGACTAAGAAACCATGCTTTTACATCTCTTCTTTCTAAAATTAATAAGTTCTTTAAATGTTTTGCAGGTGGAAACACTACATGATTTTGAGGCAGCAAATTCAGATGAACTTACCCTACAAAGGGGTGACGTGGTGCTGGTGGTCCCTTCGGATTCAGAAGCTGATCAGGTAAAAGGTTGGAAGATGCTTCAGGCCAGCTTGGTTTTTCCTGAGGGACAGTAGGACACAGTGACTTCCTAAAAACACCTCTGTTCTCTCAGATGCTGCAGTCCAATTCTGAAAAGGGCTTAGGGCTTTGGACCCCAGCACACTATTAGCTTCATTTTAAGGATACCCTTCCCGGATGTTTTGCATGATTTCATTTGTATGCAATTAAATGATCTTATTCTATGACCATTCCTAGGGATGTCATGATACCATTCTTCAGGAAATACAGAATTTGCTTGCGAATCCCCTTCAAAATCCCCTTCAACCCTGAGGGCTGAAGGTTAACTGGGAAATAACAGGGGAGAACTTTCTGGGGAGATGGAAATGCTAGGTATTGTGATGGGGTGTGGGTATGTTTGTCAAAATTAGTTGAACTGTACCCTCACAACTCTGCATTATTGTAATGTTTAAATTATACCCCGCCTTAAAAGAAATCCCATTGCAGAACAAACAGCAACCTCCAAAACCTTCCTAGTAGAGTGGTCTGATACTAAGGTGCTGGGAACTCCCATTTTATTCCTGTTCAAGATTTGTGGACTCTTGAAAGAGGTATATCCATGGGTCTCTGAATGCGTTTTTCTGGAGCAAAGATCTATGACTTCCATTCTACTTCTAAAGAGATATATGAGTCCTTGCCATAAAAAAAGTAAATTTGACCACCACAGAGTTTGAGATTAAGATTTATACAGCTCCAACCTTTTGTTCTTTCTTTTGGTGATGACACCTGCCTCCAACATAAATCAGGGGCTGGTCAAGCACCCAGAGTCTCTGCCACAATAAGATTAGAATTTAACAAAAACAATGAAAGCCCCAGTGCTTAAAAAATTTTAAATGCACTTCTAAATATTTCATGGGTCACAGAAATAATAGTGTAAATTTAAAAAAATGATAATTATCATTGATTCTTAGTTTTAAGCCTAAGAATATGAATGAGGATCAAGTTGAACAGAAAGCATATAGAAGGAAGGAAAAAATAAAAATAAATTCATAAATGAATGCAATAAAACAAAACCTAAAACATATAGCCAAAAGTTGGCTCCTTGAAAGGATTAACACTATTATTATTAAAATCTTAAAAAGACTTTTCCATAAAAAGTGACAAAGCATAATTATTAATATAGGCAAAAAAAATCAACCATTGCAAAAACATTAAAGATTCCATTATATAGGTTTATATTTGTTTTACATTCACCATAAATTAATCTTTTTAAATTTTTATTATTTATTTATTTAGATATTAGGAATTGAACCCAGAGCCTCATGCATGCTAGACAAGCACTCTACCACTGAACTACATCCCATCCCTATAAATTAATTTTTAAAGAAATAAAATTTTTAAAAACCCATCTTTTACATTTACCAACATGTTTTCTAGTTCTAATGTTCTTCATTCCTTCTGATAAATTGAGTTTTTACTTATTTTCATTTCCTTTCTGGTTGAAAAATTTCCTTTAGCAATTCTCAAAGTACTAATCTGCTGGCAACTTATCTTGTCAGCTTCTGTTTATCTGGAATTGTCTTCATTTGTGTTCATTTTTAAAGATAGTTTCATAAGGGGAAGAAGTCTGAATTGACTTTTTTCTTTTAAGACTTCTAATTGTTGTTTCATTGTTTTACAGTCTTTCTTATTTATAATTAGAAATCAGATGTGATTTGTTTAATATTATTTTTCAATGTACAATGTAACTTCCATGACACATTTCTCTGTGTGTTTGGCTTGCACTGATTTGACTATACTGTGGTTAGGTGGTGTTTTTGTGTATGATTTCATACGTGGGGCTCACTGAGCTCTTTAGACTTGCAACTTGATTTTTTCCATTATATTTGGAAAACTTTCAGCTATTATTTCTTTTAATTTTTTTCAGTCTCATTCTTTTTTTTTTCTGGATTTCCAATTATTCTATGTCCATGTTCTTCATTTCTAAGATTCTGGTTTTGTTGTTTTTTTGCAGTGGGGAGGGATTGACATATATTTTCTATCGTTACATGATTTCTGTTATCTGTCTTCTAGTACCCTGACTCTTTCTTTGCAGCTTTGAATTTGTTGTTAAGCTAACCCAGTGAGTTTTCTGTTTCAGATATTATGCTTATACAGTTCAAACATTTCTTTGTTGTTCTTTTCTATAATTTCCATTTCTTTGCCAAGATTTCCCATCTGTTTTCTTGTTATCACTGTCTTTCAATTTAGGTTCTTGACAATATTTATAATAACTGCTTTAAATTGCTTACTGATAATTTCAAATGATTAATACCTACCACTTCAGGGCGTATTTACATTGATTGCCTTTTATCTTTAGAGCCATCATTTTTGTTTTTTTTCCTTCTGTGTAATAATATTTATATTAATACTGAACATAGAGGTAGATAATCTCCAATGACTATGTTCTGTTTATTTTTGTTCTAGCAGGTATTTAAATCACTGCATAATTACCTTTAATTTGTGGAAGTTGGTTTTATACTGTTAAGGTTGGGTGCCTTTAGTTAGCATTGATTCTTAGTCCTGGGACTTTTTATGTCTAAGTCATGGATTCCTGGGATATCAATAGAAAATCCACAGGCCTTATTAATACTTTTAATTTGCTGGAATGCAAACTCCAAACCCCATGCACTCCCCATTTGCAATGCCTAAATCTCTACTCGATTTTTCAGCCGAGTTCTGCTATTGTTTTCCTCCGTGGTTCTTGGAGTACGCCTTATGCATGCAAGCTTGGGGGTCAGCCAAGGATTTCAAGAAGTGCCTCTGCATAATTGGGAACCCCACCATGGCTCCCTCCTTTACAATCTATCTGCCTATAAATGTACAGTTTCTCCAGCAGCCCTAAACTCTTTCTTCCGAATGCCCAATGTCACATGGACTGAGGACAGGATCAGCTTAGGTCTCACCTGCTGCACTCCTTGAAGAGTTGTGCCCATGATTAATGCCTACCTCATTATATGTACACTTGTACTGTTTTTTTTTTTTGGGGGGGGGGGTACCAGGGATTGAACTTATGGACATTCAACCACTGAACCACATCCCCAGCCCTATTTTGTATTTTATTTAGAAACAGGGTCTCACTGAGTTGCTTAGTGCCTCACTTTTGCTGAGGTTGGCTTTGAACTTTCGATTATACCACCTCAGCCTCCTGAGCCACTGGGATTATAGATGTGCAGCACTGTACCCACCTATGTAGACTTGTATTTTATGTTACATATTTTATAACAAATATATAGATAGATTTATATAGAGATACACACATATATACATGTGCATGTAGAGAGAGTTATTCTAGTATTTCTAATTATTCTTTGCAGAATCATTTATCTAATTGAAATTATTCTGCCATTATCAGAATGGGAAATCCTTGTCTACCACATATTTTAAGCAATTAAGGAAATTAATAAGGAAAATCTAATTAATAAGGAAAAATCTAATTTTTCTTCACTAAGATTTGGGATTAGCTAATATTCTTAGTTTGAGATTTAAGTTTTATTTCAGAATATATATGTTGAAATATATCTTGATTATGGGTTTTTGGAAGTGTTTGGCTTTTTTTCCTTTATTGAACCAATTTTAAAATGCTTGACTCTATTTGGCCCCCATTAGATTTTTTACTCACTATAAATAAAGGCAAATATAGACAATTGTGTGGAGGGAAATGACCTTTTATATTGCATACTAGAGGTTTAGAAAATATTTAGTTACCATCTTTTACTTTAAGGAGGACTTTGTCCTTCACATATACGGCATCATAATTTTAAAGAGGCACTTTTCCTCATCAGCGAGAATATTATCAGTTATTTTATTGGGTCATTTTTTTTCTCAGTATTTTTTCTTTTTTTCTGCCTTCAAAAATTGGCCTGTCTAAGTGCTTATATTTCTTGTCTGTATGGCAGCATCAATTTATAGTCTCAGATGATATCAAAAGGGAATGTATTCAGCTTCTTTATTTAATTTTTGAGACCTCATTTTATCTGATGTACTTGAACTGTGCTGGGGATTGGTTCAGATTAAATCTGGCCATCTTTCATCCTATGTGAGATCTTTTCCTGCGCTGGTTAACATAATAAAGAGTCATTTCCCACTAGTCTCTCTTCATTCGGTCTCAGTCTGCATGCTTCCAACTCCACTGTGTCCAGCGGGGCTCTGCTTACCTGCTGAAGGCCGAAGGCAGTCAGTGGCCTTTGCTTCTCGGTTTTAAGTATCCTCTCCTATTTTATAAGCCAATCATGGATTGGGTTCTTGAACCTTTCTATGGTTTAAAGTCTTTATTTTGATAATGGTTTTCCTCCCATATGACAGAAAAATGTTAATTTATAAAGAATATATGAATATCTCCGATATGAATGTCCCAATATTAAAATGCTTTGTAGTTTATATAAACTTGAAATATCAGGCATTAATAGCAGCAGCAGCAGCAGCAGCAACAACAACAAAATCAGGCAGTACATATGTAACTTTTAGTCTTTGTTATGACCTGGATAGGGTGTTTATTGGGCTTATATGATGTGAGCTGTGGAGCAGAGACTCTTCCTGAAAACAAGTGGCTCAGGGTGAAATACAAACTTTCTGTAACCTTCCCCAGGAGTCCTTTGAATTCTCAGGATACTGGACCCACATGTTCCTTGAACACTATGTATTCTTTGTTCTCAGGCTATGATCTAGATGACATCAATTCACTATGCCATCATACAAAACTAGAATGTTAATTCAATTAACCCTATAGAGTAAATAAATAATTTCAAATGTTCATTCTTTTTCTTTCACTCCTAAATTATTTGCTTTCCCCACTGGTCATATCCCACCACTTCACATGTACCATGACATCAGGGCAGAACCACAACACTGATTCAACAAATCACATATTAGTTCTTGGAAGTACACATGCTTCTGGTAGTTAATGAAACCCTGAAAGGCTGTCCTTGTCTTGCAGGATGCAGGCTGGCTGGTGGGAGTGAAGGAGTCAGACTGGCTGCAGTACAGAGACCTGGCCACCTACAAAGGCCTCTTTCCAGAGAACTTCACTCGACGCCTGGAGTAAGGCTGCGAGTATTTCCGAAAGAGCTCAATGACAGGGTTTTTAAACCTTCGCAAAATCCCAAGGAGTTCACTTTTGCTATTACACTCTTAACGATTTCCAGACTGACGCCAGACAAAGCTGGGCAAGACCTTCGGTAGAGCATGTGTGCAAAAGGTGTAAGAGGAAAACAAATGCGAATTAAGGAAAAAACCCTCACTCAGTTCCCATGTGGTCGATTACAGGTTTGTTTGTGCTTTGTCCCAACTGTGGACACTGTTGTACTTGATTCCCCTCCCACCAATTCTAAAGTAGCTTTCTCCAGACCAGACCTTAATTTCTCTGCACCAAGTGTACGGTATCCAGTGGCTGCCCTGCAGAAGATGTGATGAATTGTCCTGTAGTACAAGATTATCTTATTCTCTCCCTTTCAAGTTTACTGTGTTTAAAACTAAACTGCTGCAAATGTTCTCAATGGTCTTTTTCTGCACACCTACATATACATATATATACAGACACACAGTCACACGAGCTAGTTCCCATGACTGCTGGATCTATGTGTATGCAGAAGGCTACATATGCATAGTTGCTTTCTTTCCTTTCCGTTGTAGCTCTTTGCCTTTCGAGTGTCATTGATACATGCATTGCTCTTATTCTGTCTGGCATTACAGTTGCAGTTTTGCCTCAGGGCAAAACCAGCCATCCCATTGCCAAAACAGTCAACAGTATCTGTGTTTGTCATGTGCAGTTTTCAAGATGAAATGACAAATAGCACGTCCAAGCTGCTGCCCCTCTGGAGAAAGCAGGGCCCGATTACACAGCTGTCCAACTGCTGTGGCTAGAGCAAGGTTAGTCCAGGACGAGCAGCTAAGTGGTCTTCACTTCTGCCTTTACCAGAATGGCTAGACGATGGGGCATATTAATCCATCCCTCCCCAAAGAACCTATTTAAAATAGCTCCTATATATTCCCACATCTTTATATTTATGCAATTCATCTTCACAGATTTGTCCTAAAAGAAAATAGGTGATGTATGCTGTATCCACAAATCATCTGTAATAATTATGTTTTCCGTGCTGTGTCATTCCAAATAAACCTTTGGTAATCTCTAACAATTACCCTAATTCCTTTTTATGAGTCTTTTTTTTTAAACAAACAAACAAACAAAAACCCCCAAATCCTTTTTCCAGTTGGACACACTACTTGAAACAATTTATATTGGAGTTGTTATTTGTGCAGAAATATGCTTGTTCCTCCTGGGTTGTGCTCCATAGCCCCTTGTCTCTTCCCCTCCCCCTTCATTCCAGTCATTGCTGGTCATTCAGTGTTCCTTGATAACCAGCAATTACTAGAGCACAAATAACAGCTAAGGAGGGAGACACCTTAAAGGTGTCGGCTGTGGACCCCCGGTCTGTGAATCACTGACAATCTTACAACTTTCATAATCAGCAATTTCTTTCCATGCCAGCCTCATTTTTTTGGTCACTTTTCTTTCTGGCATGTTTATGTTTGTAGGTACATAAAATATTTAATCCAGTGGAATAGAAAAGTCAATTCATGGGGCCATTGTTACCAGAAGAGGATTCTTACAAAAACATTTCATTTTTATTTAGACGCCTCTCCTCTAATATAATTCTGTACACAGTCCAGGCTAATCAAGAATGTGCATTCTTAGACTTTTAAGTGTGGTAATTATTTCTGATTCATGGTTCAAATTCTCCTGGTAGATTACTGAATTTGATGCTTTAAGTATTAATAGGGAGATTGTTATTATTGACCCATGGTTTTTCAAAGGGCTAATTTTCAGGGAAGATGGGTCATCATGAATGCTGGTTTAGTTGCAAGAAAATAGCATGCCACGGCCCAGAAGCATGGCTGTTGATTTAGCAAGAGAAATGCAGCAGTGTGAGGTTTATAATAGAACACCTGTAATATGGATACTGCATAAGGGATGCTAAAAGTCAAGACTGAAAAATGTGTTCTAATAATAATATGCACCTCATGTTCTACGAAGATAATTGCCACATCTCCTGGAGCAGTTATTCTGAAATTCCTATTGTACTTCTGCCCATAGTGTCCCTGCCAATGCACAGTTTGATAGAACATGACCTAGATAAGTTTTGCCCTGAACTTCCTAGATAAACCTACCTAGGTGAATCTATCATGTTTGTCCAAGATGACATGTTCCTGATTCTTTTTAAATACCTTTGGAGTTTTTAAACACTAAATAATCAGATTCTTTGTCTCAGGAATTGCCAACATCCAAGAATTCCCACTACACTGAAAATGCAGGAGAAGCAGATGGTTTAGTGCTATTCTGCAGAAATGACCTCTGATGTAGAGTGAATGCTCTTTTCCATAGAAGTGGATTTTCAAAGGGATGTGTGAGTACACACAAGCCACCAACACATTGTAGACACGTTGTTTGTCCATATATTGGCAATTTTGTACCTATATTTTTTTCTTTTTTCTTTTGTGGTGCTGGGGATTGAACTTTGGGCCTTGTGCATGTGAGGCAATCACTCTACCAACTGAGCTATATCCCCTGCCCTGTAGCTATGTTTTATACCAAATGGGCTGGACGCAGGAAGCCCGATCTGAGCCTGTTCTCTATATTTTAAGATTCCTCTTACAAGCCTAATGGCATGCAAACATCCGAATAGTTCTTAGTCAGATAAAGAAAGCCTGTACTTCTTAAGAAAAATGTACCTACCAGGCATTCCTACCAACACCACCTATTGCTTTTAAACCTGTGTGATGCGAATAACTGCAAAACAAAGTCCTCTGGCAGTTTGAACTTTTATTGATATCTCAGGGTAACCACAGCCCCTGCAACAGGAAGAGGTCATATGCCACATTGTTGTGTCTTCCACCAGAGCCTGCTCTTCCCGACAAAGCTAGGACAGCTTTGGAGTCAGCCAGGAGACCATACCCATCATATCTGGAGCTGCAAGACAGAGTGTGCAGGTTCAGAATTCTGAATGCTCACAAAGAAACCTTTACTCAGGCTATTAGAAAAATCCCAGCATGACCCATGTCCCAGTCAGGTGGCCCATTACTAGAAGCACCTTTGGGAAACTACAAACAAAAATATGAGAAACCATGAATTTAAAAGTGATTGAGGCTCAGTACTCTATAATACACAAATTGCATGGCTGAACACCTTGAATCCTTAGAAATAGACTGGTCAACAGATTGGCCTTGCTAGAACTCCACTAGTTTTTCAAAGGAGCCTAACTAAAAGCTTGCCTTCCTTTCTTGACTTGGGAACCAGTGAGAAACCTTGCAGACATCCTGTGGGGTACTTGGGAGAAGAGCAGCTGGCAATCTACTGGAAGCCTTCCGCCATGTGATGCTGTAGCTACCGTCTTCCCATCGTTGCGGCCTCTTTCCAGACTCAAAGAAATGGAATCGGACATTTGGTAGCTGCATGGAGAAGACAACAACTAATATTCTCTTGGTAAAAATTTGAAAATCAAGAGCCACATATTTCTGTTCACCCTTCATATAGCCCTTGACCCTGTCTTAGACCTGATTTAAGACTCCTGTTCTGGAGCACCAGGATGGAGCCAACCTGGCTGTTCCCTAGCACTATTCTTCAAGGTGCATGACAAAGATTTGATCAATTGTTCAAAAAAGCCAAATAAACTACGCTTGAATAAGCTGAATAGTCCACCCCAATATTTCATGACTCACTGGCTATACTTTTGAAAGATTGCTTAATGGTAACCCATACTGCTTTTTCAGTGTAAAAGTTAATTGTGACACAGCTTTTAAATCTATGCAAATTAAGAGAAATGCCAGGTGGGTCCCTTGAAGCTTTTTCCAAGGAAATCTAAACTTTCTCTTCATTGTCTAAAATTCAATTAATTTCCAGTCCCTTATGATCTCAGGTCAAACACTTGGGTTGTCTGGTTCTTGAAGGTCAGGCTTGGGTTGCATGCTTATCTCTCCTTCCTTACAGCTGTTAACTCAGGGTGTGTCTGCAGTTAGTACTAAAGAATCTGTGCTCTGTGAATCCAGCCCAATGTGGGAGGATATTGCCACATTGATGATACTCTTATACCCTCTCCCCATCAATAAATATTAACCCTGTGTTGTTTTCCTCTGCTCTGCACAAACCTACCAGTGACCAGCAAAAGATTTCTGCAGCATTTGGCAATGCTCTCAAACTTCTCCAAACCCTTCCCAAGATTCCAAGATACTAATTTGACTTGTTTTCTTACCTTTTTGATTGTTCCTCTCTGTCACCTTTGCTTGTTTTTCTTCCTGTTTTCTGTGGGTGCTGGGAGTGGAGCATGGGGTGGGATAATATCAACCTCTACCCTTCTGTTTGTATTCCAGCTGTGTAAGGCATGTTCCTTTAGAGGGATCAGTGATTGCCTCCAACTCCACATCTTAATTTGCTCATTAAATGTTTGTCAAGTTTTGCTAAGTGTCAGTTCACTGTACCTGGGACACAATTTATAAGACAAAAACCTTGTGCCCAATGCACCACTGAGGGGCTCCCCATTCTCCAGAAACCTAGGCCTGCAGCCTGGGGAGCTCTCTTGTGCCTCATTTGCCAGAAGTCAAACCCCAGCCATTGTTTCTTCCCTCAACACATCATGCCACCTTACACTTCAGCTTCTGTGACCTGATCTGGTAAGGTTCCTTCCCACTGCTAGAGAAGATGATTTGAATACTTCTTGTCACCTTCATCTCCCTACTTCCTGTTTTCCTGGTTTATCCCAGTCCACCCATTTTTAGTACCTAACACTGAAGTGGGGATGTCACTACTAACCTCCTGGTCTTTCCCTCTCACACACACGGTGGATGCTGTATGTCATATTTAATGCCAGCACCACTACTTGGCCTTGAAAGCCTCCAAATCTTTGCCAGTATTTATTTTCTGCTTCCAGAAGGCTATATAGATGCTCACCCTGTGGAGAACAACCTCTCCTGGAATGTGACCCCTTCTCATATTTGCCTCCAATCCCCATCACTCCAGGGCACAGCACAAGGGCATCTCCTCAACCTTTCCTT